AAGAAGGGGGGGGGGTTGATGATAATGATCAACAGCTGGCCAGGCTGTGTGATGATGAGATACTTGTTTGAGATCACCCCTATGAATGGGTTGACATCTCCAAGTGAGATATATGTTGATGCTGGGATTGCATGAGGAACTTGAACTGAGGGGGGCAAAGAGGCCTGCTTATATAGTCTATTTACACACCGGCTGGCTTGTGGTTCTAGCCCTAACTGATAATTTAAAAAATGGCTAGATTGTGGTTCTAGCCCTAACCATTTACCTATCTCTAAATCTATACTATGCACTACCAATGTACCACTATGCTTTGTAATCATGTTCTATCATAGCCCTAAAATCTAAATAACTTCTGACTGAGTTGAGCTAGCCTAGTGGTTCCAGTGATTGACTATAGGTTAAATTTGATGTAGAATTCAAATATGCAATAATAAAATCAATAATATAGTCTATTATCAAGAGTGGATCATGACTTTATGCAATTTGGTACTTGAAACACATTTGGCACACTACATCCTCCCCCAACTTAATGCTGTCCGCAGCATTCCTGTTTCAAGTACCAAAATTCATAGATCAGACAGTACTTAATTTGAAATCTACCTAAAAATTCCTAAACATAATCTGTAATATTTATCTTTCTCTCCCTTCATATTTGGATAAACTGATTCCATCAGATGTACCCGCAGTGCAGCTTCCTTCCTTGATGATTGAAATTGACTTGTGTTACATCCCAGGTATTGATTTTATTTGTAGCATCAATATTTATCTTTTTTAGTATTTTATTCTCTGATTAAGTATTTTGGAAACCCTTGATATCCCATTTGTGTAATCAAAACTCCTTCATGACCCATTTTCTGTCTAATTTGCATCGTAGTTCTGTTCCAAGTTTCCACTGAACTGGTTTTCAAACATCCAACTGATTTCCTCTCAAGTAATTCATCCAACAGTAGTATCATCTATCCCTTTTCAGAACTCCTCCTGCTCCCCTACGCCTGCCACGGTCAAATCAAAGGCGCCTAATGAATCTATTTCATTCTCTTTCATCTCATTGGTCCAAGGAAAAGGCCAGTGGTTGATATATTTGAAAGAGGCCCCTCAAAAATCTCCATATGCTGAGTTCCATGGTTGTCCGAAACACCTTCAAAACACCTTTCCCCCAGCGGAATACTCCTAAGCCTCCTTCAAATAATCCACAGTTTTCTAAAAATGCTAGCCATACTACTGTTCAAATCACTACTCAAGACAAAACCATGTCTTCAATATCCTCCTGTTTAGTTCATTCTCTTCTGTCCTGTATCCAGCAATTATCCTGCAAATTGATGGTTCATGAGATCCGGTATTTCACATTATTCAGGTCCCAATTAAGTATCTTGATGTTTTCCTTCTTCTATTCATCCAGGAATATTTGGTGGTGAGTATATTTCTTGTGAATCATTGTCCATTCTTGCCACAAATTTCATTCCCTTTGATCCTTCTCTCGAAATGAAAGGTTCTTGTTTCAGACTGTAAAGCATTTTTGTTGTGAATCCAGTTCATCCTCTCCACGTATATGGAGTTGTCTTCTTTTGATGTGTTCACAGTTTATGGTCATGTAGGACCCCTCCAATAATAGTTTTTTTTTTCTTTCAAGATTTATTTGGCCCCTAAGATGGAGTTAAGTTGGATTCAAGATGGAGCTAAGGTGGATTTGAGTTGGAGATAAGGTGGAGTTACGGTGGAGTTATGGTGGAGTTATGGTGGAGTTACGGTGGATTTAAGGTGGAGTTAAAGTGGAGTTAAGGTGGAGTTAAGGTGGAGTTAAGGTGGAGTTAAGGTGGAGTTAAGTTGACTTGGTTAAGATCACATTCTTTAAGATCACATCAGGTAAGATCACTTTCTTTAAGATCACATTGTTTTAGATCACATCAGTTAAGATCACATTCTTTAAGATCACATTGTTTTAGATCACATCAGTTAAGATCACGCTGCAAGGTATGACTATTTGACATGAGTAATGATCACCTGTGTGGATCCAATTCATCTGCTTTAAACCGAAGATTCAGGTGTCATCATCTTCGGTTTAAAGCCGGATTCACAGCTGAGCTGGGGGAGCTGCCCAAAATTCTTCCCCCCCTGACGCCTCATGGGGTTTTAGTTTATCATTATTAACCTTCCAGACATGCTTCCAACAGTTTCTGTCTAAAAAAATTTGGCCATTTTGGTGCGGTGAGCTGACCCAGCTCAGCCCAGCTCCCCTGCACATAGAGCTCAACCCAGCTCTACACAGCTCCTGTACACACCTCAGCCAACCCATCCAGCTCAACCCAGCTCCCACTCAGCCAACCCATCCAGATCAACCCAGCTCCCACTCAGCCAACCCATCCAGCTCAACCCAGCTCCCACTCAGCCAATCCATCCAGCTCACCCCAGCTCCCAAGACACAGCTCTACGCAGCTCCTGTACACACCTCAGCCAATCCATCCAGCTCAACCCAGCTCCATACAGCTCAACCCTGCTCCTACAACACAGCTCCATCCAGCTCCACTCAGCTCAATCCAACTCCATGCAGCTCCACACAGCTCCCACTCAGCCAATCCATCCAGCTCCACACAGCTCCACGCAGCTCCATACAGCTCAACCCTGCTCCTACAACACAGCTCCACTCAGCTCAATCCAACTTCATGCAGCTCCACACAGCTCCACTCAGCTCAATCCAACTTCATGCAGCTCCACACAGCTCCATCCAGCTCCCACTCAGCCAATCCATCCAGCTCAACCCAGCTCCACTCAGCTCAATCCAACTCCATGCAGCTGCACACAGCTCCCACTCAGCCAATCCATCCAGCTCCACACAGCTCCACTCAGCTCAATCGAACTTCATGCAGCTCCACACAGCTCCATCCAGCTCACACTCAGCCAATCCATCCAGCTCAACCCAGCCCCACTCAGCTCAATCCAACTTCATGCAGCTTCACACAGCTCCCACTCAGCCAATCCATCCAGCTCCCACTCAGCCAGTCCATCCAGCTCAACCCAGCTCATCCCAGCTCCACGTAGCTCCACGTAGCTCCACACAGCTCCAAACAGCTCCCTACACAGCTCCATGCAGCTCAACCCAACTCCATCCAGCTCAACCCAACTCCATGCAGCTCCACACAGCTCAACCCAACTCCACACACAGCTCCATCCAGCTCAACCCCACTCCATGAAGCTCAACCCAGCTCCACACAGCCCCATACAGCTCCAAGCAGCTCCTGTACACACCTCAGCCAGCCAATCCTACTCCACACAGCTCACACAGATCCTGTATACACCTCATTCAATCCATCCAGCTTAGGTACATACCTCAGCCAGCCCATCCAGTCCAATTCAGCTCCACACAGGTCCATAAAGCTCAACCCAGCTCCTTGCAGCTCCTGTACACACCTAAGCCAGCTCAACCCAGTTTCAAGTATGGCCCCACTGCTTAATTCATAAAATTGATTTCAACTCCCCATTTTTCACACAACTACCCAGTGGAATGTATAAAAATTGAAAAAAAGAGATACCAGTTGTTTAAGGGCCTTAATAAAGAGATGGTTGGTGTTTGCTGTGCACCGCAGAAGTGTTATCAGTGTTTGGAAGCTTTTTTTGGATTTCATTTTTTACCACTTATTTTTCATGTTTTAAAATGTACCACTTATTTTTCATGTTTTAAACTGTGTAGAATTTTATGGTAAAAACCATTTTCCATAAAAACCAACTGTTTTTTTTTTGAATAAGGCAATTAGACCCTTTTTTTGAATTAATTTTATTAGAGGTTAAATCTTCTTATTTTTTGACATTTTCCACTTGTTTTCCTACACTTTTAGGGAAGCATAAGATTATGGTAACAATCATTTTACATCAACATGAAATTTTTTCTTGAATAATGCATTTGACAAGTTTTTTCGGACTGATTTCTACAGGCTTAAATTTCATTATTTTTTGAAATTTTAAATTCATTTCCTACATTTTCAAAGGTTTAGAAATTTATGCTTATATCTTTTTTTGCATACAAATAAAAATGGTATACCATACAAATGATGTAAGAAACTGGGTAAGCTCATGTATTACTGTTGAAACTTTGATCTTTGTTAAAATCAATGATACCATGGAGCTTTAAACCTCTCAAAATGTAGGAAATGAATTTAAAATTCCAAAAAATAATGAAAATTAGGCCTTTAAAAATTAATTTAAAAACAAATGTCAAATGCAATATTCAAGACAAATTTTTTATTTTCATTCAAAGTGACCATTACCATAATTTTATAAATGTCTTCAAGTGTGGGAAAAAAATTTAACATGTCAAAAAATTTTGAGAAATAAGTTGTAAGAAATTGTTTGAAAAAATGTGTTTAATTGCAATTTTCAAAGAGATCTGTTGATTTCTACAGAAATTGAATGATGCCATAAACTTTTATGCATTTCAAATCCTAGGGAATCAATTTAAATTTTTGAAAAAAGATGAAAAATAAGGTATAAAAAATTATATACAAAAAAACCTGTCCAAACTTGTAATCCAACTCTGCTGTGTGCTGCAATTGTTTGTGGGATAAAACTCTATAATCAATTTGAGCAAGATGAAAACTTGTGACCCATTTGAATATCAGTTAGTATTCAATTGTTTACAAATAGGTAATCAAGTGGTAATTTCAATAAAAATTGAAATGTACCATTTGACTTTGTTGGTCAGCCAACTGCTACAGAAAAAAAAGTTAATTCCTGGGGCAAAGATGTGATGAGGATTGAATTCATGATTTCAATACCTGAAGAAAATATATGAAATAATTATTTGTTGGCCACACTAGACAGGTGAATGGTTAGGCTTATACAATATACATAAATCAAGAATGCTAATTTGTTTTATTCCAAATGAGTATCATTTATGTGCTCCTCTTGTTGTAAAATATCTTCCTCCTGCTGTTCCTCTACACTACTAAACTCAAACACTATAGAAGTACCCATTGTTATTTTCTGCCATGTGTTATGGGCTTCAGTAACTAATCTGGTCCATTGATGTTGGATATTTTCATCATTTGCTTAGTGGTCTTGATGATATTGTTGACTCCAGTTGAGGAGCTCAAAGCAGCTGGCATTCCATGTCATCAAAACTCGACTGTGACTTTTGGCTAGTGAGCAGTAGACAGACTTCAGAACAGCATGAGGAATGTTATGCTTGGAGCAGATTTGGGTTAAAAAATTGCTTCCTTCACCAGATTGCTGGTTTGCTGCAGAGTATTTTTTTTATTTCAAATGAATTGGCCAAAACAAAATTAGGTGAGTAATCTGTGATATTTTGCTTTAAAGGAAAATGCTGACCTGGGTCTAACAAGTCATAAAGATTTTCCAGAGAGTTTGACCTATCAATAGCCCACTTGACTGCTTGTCGCGCCTCTCGTGAAATCCTTCGCAGCTCGTCTTTGCAATGGGTGGATGTAAGGAGTGCATCAATCCCTTCTCGCACATTTGGATCAATTGCCCAAGGCTCATTTGGATGCAAAAGAGAACCCATATCCCAAAAATGATCATCCAGGCCCATTGACTTGATTTCTTCAAATGTAGGTGTTCCAACGTCGATCTCTGGCATATAGTTTTCATTGTAGATGGTGGCTCGGTTGCAGTATGATGTCCACTTGCTCTTCAGAAGCTTGACCTTGGAACTCATCAATTTCTTGAACCTAGCTTGCATGCGTGTACCTGTTTCCTTGTCAAACAATATCAGAGGTTAAAGAGACCAAATAAATACTTGCAATTCTAAAGACACACCTGATCCCCTTTGATCCCATCTCTTCTGGACTTCCAAAACCCCCACTTAGGCCTCGTATAGTTTGGATTTGCTCACTTTCAACCTTATTAGAGCCTTTGTCTCTGCATCTGTCTCAAAATTAATGTTAATGGAAGGGTGGCTATTTGTATGTAGTGATGCTTGGGTCAGTATAAACTCACCAGAGGCTCCTGGAAGACCTCGAAATGCTTCAGATCCAAGCTCACTGATAACCTGATCAATTTGTTCCTCCAACAATACAACTGTGTCTGGTAGTCCATGAAGCTGCCTTTGTTCCTCGCTGGTTCGATCATGCCTACGTTTGGCTCTTAATGATACAATTGTGTCGCTACAATAAATTCTGTGTATCAGCTTCAATTATACTGCGTATTCTGAGGAATCAAATTACTGTGTATCCCGAAGTTGGTCTTCCAACTCAACAAGTTCCTCAACTTGTCTCATCATATCTCTTTCAGACTCAGTCTCCATTGCCGATAGTTGACACTCTCTTTGTCGGATCCATTGGTCAGCCAAGTAAACTGTGGAGTGACCAAAATTGTCTTCGATTTCCTTAAGTTTTTCAAGGGCAGTTTTCATTGCTTCTTCCACCTGTTTACCACGATCTAAGAGCAATCTGACTGGAAACATTTTTTTCATCAAACAAATTGTATTTTATTTCAAATACCGGAATGACATACCTGAATTTGTTTTACCAGTATCATTGTGATGGGAAGACCGTAGATCTAATGCCACAAGTCTATGAGTCTTGGTCGAATACCTTAGGGAGCTGATCAGAGGAGATAAATAAGCCCAAATCCGCTCCATTCCTTCACCATCCGACATCCCCCATCCATTGTTGAGCCTAGGGTTATATTGCAGCTGACATGACCATTGATGAACATAAGCGTGGAAAACACTTGTTCCAAACATCAACTGGTTTCCCTGGCGTTCTTCACTAAATAAATTTTGCTAAATGCACTTGAATTAGTCTAATAGTGGCCACTTTAGTAGGGAGACAACAGGGAATCCTTACTTTATTAATTCCCTTTTCCATATTACAGCCTATATCGTACAAGAAGCCAATTTTTTTTCTATTCTCTCCATCCTGTGTGGTTGTTAGAAGATTTTTGATCATGGTCATTGGGAAATATGCCCTTTTAAATCAAGAATCAGATTGACTATTTCAAAACATAAATTAATACACATGTCTGGCTTACTTTTCACCACTTTGAACTATGTTGATTAGCCTCAAGATTTGGTCATGACGACATGCCAACCCAAAGATGCCAGTGTCATCACAAGCCTTCCATGTTGCAGCCCCCCTGGTATCATTGGCTGCTGTGTGTTGTTCAGTACATTGGTCCTACAAGGACATAAAATTATATCAGTCATCGGATTTCATATTGTTTAAACATGATGTAACTTACTAAGGTTTCATCTGCTGCCAATGTGTTTTGACTGGATACCATACTCAATTCCATTTCCTGAACCTCGGCCGGAGAAATGAAGAGCGTGGTAGGCTTGCGAGATTGATGAAGTTCTTGGCTGGCTGAAAGGTGTCTACGATGTTGAAAATTTCCGTCCATGCATAAAATATAATCTGGCTCGTCCGGTGTCTTTCCGGGAACTGGGGGGCCAAAGCACTTTGGACAAATATTCGCAAGTTTATCCATAGGTCCCATCTGTAAGAGCTCTTCCAATATGATCTGTCCTTGCCTGATCATCTCCCGGTATGCATCAATTGATGCGGAGATGGTTTGCCTCCATTGTCTGGTCTGAAATCACATAATTATTTGGCATTAGTATTCATCCTTATGATTCTCACACTGATTATCAGAATAGTCTCTCACAGTATAACAGCTTTCAGATTGCAAAGTCGGTGGTGATACAAGAATGAGAGGGTTATTTGAATTGAGGAACTCTTCCAGAGCTTTTGAAAAAGGTGTGATTGATACTGCACAGTGTTTCCAGATGATATGATGGAATCTCAAGAGTCGTATGGAAAATGCGGTTCTGGGGAATTTCGGTGATCCTCCGATATAACCCATCCTGATAAGGCGGACCTGGTCTGACTGGCATTTGCAAAATGAGACTTCGGTTTGTGTTCTGCCTAGAAAGCATTGATGGGGTTCAGTATACAGATGACATGTTTACTGTCAGCCTCTGGGTAACTAACCTGAGTATTTAATAGTAAAAAGGTTGTTACTATGAGTTGACTGAAGTTTTTGAGCGTGGTGAGTGTTAGGTAGTGGGTGATTAATACCAGTCCTGTAAAGAGGAGGTTTCACTCTATCAGTATGGTCTTTACTGAGAGGCTTGCTATCAACAGCGCATCCGGATCAATACAAGGTATTAATAGGCATCCAGGGTACTAAGACTCACCTGGGATTGATTTGGTTATTCCCCAAAGGGAATGGGCTAACAATACTTATTAAGCTTTAACAAAATTAGTTGAAGATTAACAGGTATTGTTGATGGGAATATTCAGCAAGGCTATGAATACTGTGGATAAGTTGAGTAAGAGTACTGAAGCTTAAGAACAATAAATGTAGACAAGATTTATGTTGGTTACGGGTACTGTATCAATATAAATGTTAACTGGTTTAACTGGTGTCTGAATATTCTGGGGATTAATCAGTGGAAGTGGCACGGATTATAAGTTCCAGAATACTGAAGGGGGAAAGAATGAGCGCTCAGAATCAAGGGAGCTTTGGCCAGGAGAATGAGCACATCAATTGAGTGACTGATCATTATTTGTCATGATCTGTAAGTGACATCATAATTGTGTACTAGTTGATTAATGTACTAGTTGCTCTTGATGTGTACTTAACAGATCCTCTAATAATGTAGTCATAATTGTGATCTGTGCATGTATTGAATGTATTAATTCTATTGACACTTAATACTTACTATTTAATACATGTACATATTTATTTGTAATAATATTTGACCGTGAAAATACTGTAGCAGAGGGATAACTTGTGGTACAGGTATTTCACGGACAAGGGAGTGAAAGGTAAGTGATAATTACTTATGTAGAACACAGGTATGTATTTAAATAGATAAGTAATTAACAGATAAGATAAATGTAAGATAAATAGGATAAGATAAGTTAATGATAATAATAAGATAACAAGAGGTAAAGGTAATCAACATTATGGATAAGTACTTATGTACATAAGTACAGGTGTTGCAGTTACTTGGTACATGAAAGGTACTGTGACATGTACTCTGTGGCTGACACTTCCTCCCTCTAAAAAAGGCTGATCCAAGAAATAAATGAATGTTATTTTCTTTTATCAGCTCTGTATTGTCTGAGAATTTTATCAGCATCAGGTATTTTATCAACTGTAAGCCATTCATCTTCTTTGGTACCACTGTATCTTACTAAATACTGTTTCATGTCCACATTGTTTTTTCTGATTTTTCTATGTTGTAATATCTTCTTAATTTTAATTTCTTCTTTCTCTAAAGGAGGTATTATAACTCTGATGTTATCTTTTCTTAAAGGAAATTTGTCATTATCACTAGTTTTGTATGGTTTAATTAGACTGACTGGAAATGTAGGGTGTTTTCTTTCTAATTCTCCAGTGAGTATAACTTCAACAGCATTTGCACCGTGTAATTGTTTGATTGTAAAAGGTCCTACAAAGGAATCTCTTAATTTTTTAGGTCCAGTCAGATTTGTAAAATTAAATGTAGATATCAAGACTTGGTCTCCAACTTTAAACTGGTGAGCTTTGTGAGTTTTATCCCATCTAGTTTTGTTGTAATCTACAGCTAATTTCACGCATTCTGCTGCATATTTTCAGCTTTGGTCATCAT